CCATCAGCCGGCCTGGGCCCGCCGCTCTGGGCGCCGGCTGCCGCTTCGCGTCCCCGGGCTCCTGCGGCTGCACGCGACTTGAGTTCACCATCGCGCTCACTGGCGCCCAGCGCGCCTTTGCGCTGCGCCGCGCTCGGCGCTGCCCGCGGCAGGAGCCATGTTCCTTTCTTCCCGGGGCCCGCCGCCTCCTGCTCCCCGCCCCCGACAGCCCTGCATTCCCGCTGCCCTCGCCCGCCCCCTCGGCCCGCCTCCCCTTGCCTCGCCTGGCCTCGCCCAGCGGCCTCGGCGCGCGACGGGGGGAGGCGCGAGGATGCCGCCCCCGCGGCCGGCGCTTGTCGAGCGGCGCCTGGGCCCTCGTTCCAAGTGGAGTCGGATCCTGGGCGCGGGCGCACGCATTCCATTCGGATGGAAGGGCTTGGGAAGGAAGGGAGTCGCTGACCCACCCGCCCGCCTGTGAGCAAAAGGCTCCTGGAGCTGTCGTTGTCTGCCTGACTGATACAATGCTAGGGTTTCCCGTTAACCGCTAGCCACTTCTGCCTCTGTTTACCAAAGTGGGGAGAGAAAGAGGAAACCCTTTGTGGGATGATGTGAATTAGCGAAATCCAGACTGAGCTGAAGTCTCCAGCATGGGCAAAGAAATTTTTCCCTCATTTGGAAACTACTATGCGGACTTCTTTTGCCCCCAGCGGCCCTCCTCGCCCTGATTCGGCTGCGTTTTTGATGGTTTCATCAATCTTCGGTTGGTTCCTCTCTCCGCACATGTTGGGGAGTGCAAGGATTGAGCCTTGGGCCTCTCAGATCTGCTGGTGCCCCCAGCCTGACCTCATTCCACCACTACCAGCGCCCTCCCCGCCTCTCCCGATACCTGTGGCCAGCACTGACCTCTGGGTAATAGAATCCTACATCAGACCACAGGTCCACGACTTTATTTCGATTCTACAGAACACATGCAACTTTATGCTCTGTAGTTGCCTCAAAGTTCACTTATCTAAACTAAATTTATTATCTTTTCCCTCTTCTTTTGAACCTGCTTCACCTCCTATAACCCCAGTTGAGGGGTGAAGGTTTATATCATCACTGTGCTGCTCACTTCCCAAGCTACACTAGCTACTGTCCTACACATCATCTTCACCAAATCTTGTTACTTCTGTCCGACAAATGTCTCTCGATAAGACCTCTGTTTCTCATTCCTGTTGTCAGTGGTTGAGTCCAGTGCCTTATCTTGCGTATTTTTTATTCCACATTAGAGTAACAGGTCTGTCAGTTCTGCATTCCACTGTTTCCAGAATTAGACTCCAGAATCAGGGAACCAACAAATAAAGCTGGACTAGAAAATTGGAGCATGTAAGGCATGGTAGATAACGCTAGAAAAGTAACTTGGGAACAGATTATGAAAATTTACTAAACCAAATTATGGAAATTAAATGTTATCCTTTATACTATTGGAAGCCCACAGACATTTCTAAGCATCAATGTGACATGAACGGCTCTGATTCTGGAGTTGCTTATTGGTCCACTTGTGAGGATTTTTGTTTTGTTTATGTTGAGGTGTAATCCATAGTGAATGCTGTAGTCTTTGATCTTTATCAGTAAGTGCTTGAAGTCCTCTTCACTTTCAGCAAACAAGGTTTGTCATCGGCATATCTCAGGTTGTAATGAGTCTTCCACCAATCCTGATGCCATTTTCTTCTTCACATAGGCCAGCTTCTCAGATTGTTTGCTCAGCATACAGATTGAATAAGTATGGTGAAAGGATACAACCCTGATGCACACCTTTCCTGATTTTAAACCATGCAATATCCCCCTGTTCTGTTCAAACAACTGCCTCTTGGTTTATGTACAAGTTTCATATGAGCACAATTAAGTGTTCTAGAATTCCCATTCTTCTCAATGTTATCCATAATTTGTTATGATCCATACTGTCAAATGCCTTTGCATAGTCAATAAAACACAGGTAAACATCTTTCTGATATTCTCTGCTTTCAGCCAAGATCCATCTGACATTAGCAATGATATTCCTCATTCCACATCGTCTTCTGAATCCAGCTTGAATTTCTGGCAGTTACCTGTCGAAGTACTATGCATGGTAAGTAACTATTATTTTAGTTAGAATGTACAAACAAAACAAAATATTATTTGAAGAGATCATTCATGGAGTTATCTCATTGGAGGGGATCTAAATAACAATGTTGTGTGCCATTGAGTCAATTCCAACTCATATCGACCCTATAGGACAAGGGACAACTACCCCATAGGGTTTCATAGGCTGTAATCTTTACGGGAGCATATCGTCTGGTCTTTTCTCCCATGGAGTGGCTGGTGGGTTTGAACCTTTGGTTAGCAGCCCAACGCTTTAACCATTGTGCCACCAGGGCCCCTTTAAATAACAATAGCGGGGAAAATATAATTTTGTATAAGTCAGTAGTGAAGGCTTTCAATACAAGAAGAGGTTCAGAAGAGAGGTTATAGGTTGAAGTGAGTGGGGGAGGTAGGCAGGGTCATATCATGGAAGGCCTCATGCATAACAAAAAATATAGACTTTATTCTGTAGTTAATATAAATAATAATAAGCATTTTTTAATAGTATAAATTATTTAAAACAAAATCTGGCAACATTCTTCCTGAGACTGTACCTTCATCCCCCTAAAAAATTCAGATTGATTGAAAACATTACCACACATACATAATTCAGAGTTAGATGCATGCTTAACCGAAATTTTAGTTACAAATCATTGCCCAAAAAAAGTGATTTAAAAAAAACACATAGAGAAATTTGTTTAATATAATTTGGATAGTATTGAGCCCATTGCCTCTTAAATCATGTATTCCAGAAGTTTCACCATTAATTTCAATCTTTGTCTTCAGAAACCCTTCACAGGGCCATCCAAAATGCTTCCCGCTCTAATACCTACCCTTTCTTTTTTGGTTACTAATGTTTCTTTGTGATTGTTTTCCTCAACATCTTTTTAGAACTCTCAGCGTTTGCTCCAGCAGGCCCTAAGGCTATAAATTTCTTTCTCTACCCACAGAATTCCTTCCTTTAATACCCATTTTAAAACTCTATTTCTCATAAGAAGTTTTCCCCTTTTTGGATAAGTGAGATGCACAAACTTGTACTTTTCTTCACCTGATTGGCACAATCATGCTGTCATATCAAAATTTTCAGTAACCTATAGGGTCCAAAATATAGTGTGGGATAACATCACTTGGATGCTGTTTGGTTTTATTTCATCTGTGTGGTAGGTTCTTCTATACAAGCCCCACCTTTTAATGCCACAGTGGACATTCAGAGAAGCCATTTGACAAGGCAACCTTAAAAACAGCCCAGTCTAATTTAATACTTAATATTCTCCACAACTCTAACTTCTGTATTATTAGAGTGGTCAGCCTCCTGTTTTGCTATCCTTTTCCAGTCTGAATTGATGAAACAGACAAGAGCTGAAGTTGGTCCTGCAGTCTCCACCTTCAAAAAGAAATCCAAAAGAAGTTCCCGGCATGTGTGGCATTGCTTAGCAATCCACCCAAACAAACATGTTTCTCCCTCAGTTTTTTTCCCAGTCCTTATTTATTCAAGAATGTTGTAAAATAAACTTTTTACCACTTGACAACTGAAATCATTAGAAGAAAATTTGGTGTTTTGGGCTTTATAAGAAGAACTGCTAACCATAGTAAAACTTGTACTTTATTTTATTTCTCATTTTACTGCCCTAGTAATGCAAGGCTAGGGTTTGTGGTATTCTTCTTCATGGTTTGGATTGGACTGAATGTGTCCCTGCCTCTGTGAGGGTTATCTTGGCACCACTATTGGTTGGCACTGTGATCTTGATGATCTAACCTTTCTGTCTCAGTTTCCTTCTCTGTATAATGAGGTTAAATACTTGCCTTACAAATCTCCCACAGAATTCTTATTGAAAATATGAGGGAATATTAATAAATTCATCAAACACTTATTGAGTACCCACTAGATGCCAGGAACCGTGTTAGATTCTGGGGAAACAAACACATAATCCCTACCTTCATGTGGCTCAAATCTTGTAAATAGACTGCCTGGAAACATTGCCAAGCCCTCTTCTATACCCCATAAAGATTTATGAATCTTTCTAAACTCACACATTGTCTGCTTCAGGAACTTTCCTTAGCTACAGTCCCCAACCATATATTGAAAATATATGTTATCACAGTTGTCTCCCTGGGTAGAATGTAAGCTCCAGGAGAGGCAGAGGCCCTTACTTATTTGGTTTGTTGTTTAGCTGCTCAGCAGCCTGTGATGGTTAAGATTGTATGTCAACTTGGCTAGACCATGATTCTCAGTGTTTTGGCAGTTGCATAATGTTGTGATCACTGTCCTGTTGAAATTTGATATGTGATTACCCCCATGACGGAATCTGTTGAGAGGTACTGGCGGGGGCAGGGCCTGTGTCAGCTCAATGCCCCCTCAGCTTCATCTCTCTGCCCTTCACCAGCTACTTCCTTACTGCTCGCCTTGCCAATGTTTTTGGCTTGTTCCAGACCTGGCAGCTGCATCTTGCCATCTCACCTCTGATTCTTGGGACTTGAGCTAGCAGCTTACCTGTCGATCTTGGAATTCATCGATCTTCACAGCTTTCGAGCAAGAGTCCTGTTCCCCGACCTGCTGATCTTGGGTTCACCAGCCCCTGCAGCTACGTGAATCAAGAGAAACCTTGCGGTCTTTTCTGCTGATCTTGGAATTCATCGTCCTTCACAGCCTGTGAGCGGGATCCCTGCTCTCTGACGTGCTGACTTTGGGTTCGCCAGCTTCCGTGGCTGCGTGATTTGGGAGAGGCCTCTACTCTGATCCACGAACTTGGGATGTTCTAGCCTCTACAATCGCATGAACTGTTTCCTTGATATAAATCTCTATATATATATTTATACAGTTTACTGGTTTTGCTTCTCTAGAGAACCCAGCCTAAGACATTTGGTACCAAGAGTGGTTCTAGAGAAACAAAATTATAAGGATGAGTTTTCTACATTGGTTCTCAAGTCTGGTTAGTCTTAAAGATGTTGATGACTCTGCTTCCAGCATTAAAGAGGGCACTGCTAATCAGTGGCGTGAGGTGGTGATACAAATACACAAAATATCACCACTGGTAGATCAGGTATTGGTGAAAGGTAGGCTCAGGGTGAACACATGTGTGATATCTTTCTACGGTTTTGTCAGAATGAGAAGTATAAGGAAGCTGGTTGGTTGGTCCTACTTTTGCTAGACAAACTGGTGAAAGAAAGAGATGCACTCAGGGCTTCAGAGTCAAAGCTCAAGTGCCGCATAAATGACCTCAAGGCTTCCACTTGTGCTTTGAAGGAAAGCCTTATTTCTTGTAGTAACAGAGCTGAAATCGCCAAAAACCAAACCCAGAGTCTTATTGTAACTGTGGCTGAA